GATATAAATAACAATTTTAATCAATATATAAATCAATATAAAACCGGAAACTCTTTAGTGAGCACTTCATCCAAATTCTCGGTCTTATAATTGATCACTCGATCGGTTCCCAACTCTTTCAATAGTTTTGCCTTTTCCTCGGATGAGGTCAACCCAATAACATACGCGCCCTTCTGTTTGGCCCATTGGATCCCTATATGACCCGTTCCTCCGGCGGAGGCTGTGATCAACACTTTATCTCCCTTTTGAATGCGACCCAACTTTTAGAAAATTTAATACAAATTATTTAAATTAATTGTAAATAATTTTATTGTATTTTCAATGAATACCTCATCCAAACCTATAGTTGCGGTCAAACCACAGACTAATAGACCGATAAATTCAGGTTTCAGAGAAGGAATTGGTATCAACTCATCGGGTTTGGCGTACTTTTGAATGTAATATTTGATTAAATTTTAATTTTGATTATTGTTATAAATTACTATCGATCATAATATTGATACTAACAATGTATTCAGCATATGTCCTAGGGCCTCCAAATGTGAGCACATTTTGTCCCACTTTAAAAGTGGTCACATTTTTGCCAACACTTTCTACAATTCCCAACGCCTTTTCAATTAAAAAGTAACATTTAATGACAAAACTAAACATATTATTGTGTAAATATAAATTAGATTATACCTCGAGTCCGACATCGAAAGGCAACTGCGAGTTGGGATCATATCTGCCGGCACTGATGTTGATGTCAGTGGCGTTCACACCGGCATAGATGGTCTTCACGAGCACCTCATCATCGTTTGGTGGGTTGAGAGGGACGGACACCACTCGAACCGCTTCTCGGAAATCAGTGCTCTTCTTGAAAACCGATAACTTGTTGTAGTTTTTGGACATTTTGTTTGAGCCGTTTAAACACAATGAGTTTAAATGTGTCAAAACATTTGTTTATATACATTACATGTTTATGTACATGTTAATAAATTAACTGATTCAATCAAAAATGCACTATTAGCACTAACAGCACTATTATAGCACTAGTATAGCACTCAATAACCTTCAGTTTAAACTCAAATGTACCCATTATTAAGAATGTGTTTACGGTATTGACAATATGGTTATGGTATTTTATTTATATAATTAATATATATAATAATGGTTTACTTAATTGTATATTCACAGCACAATCAGGTAAACTGGAGACAGAATTCATGAAATCTGTTTTTTTGCATCCCATAAAATGTTTCCCTATTTTATGTAAAGAATATCATTAATAATTCTGTGAATATTTTTAATGTCTATAAAATTTGAGATTTAGCTTATTTTTAACAAGAAATTTAATTTTTTTCAAATTGTTTTATATTTTATAAATGATTATTTTATTATAAATAAAGCAATGTAAATTTATAACCAATTATTAATATAAAGCGTGATATTTGTTAAAATTTTATACAGAGATAATAATTATAATTTTACCTACTACAGTGAACTTTCCATATAGTGACTCTCTATACAGTGTATTTTCCATATAGTGTACAAAATATTTTAGTTTGGCGGACACTGTATACCTGTAATGTTATTTCCGCTCCATATAGTGACTCTTTATACAGTGTAAATTCTATATAGTGGCCAAAATTTTGCTAATTTTGACTATATTTTACTATTTTTACGCTCTTTATAGTGTTTTATGGTATGAGACAACAATTTTTTGTCTT